TACTGGAACGCTGTAAAACGCCCTGGAACGCACTAAAACGCACATGTCCCTAATTAAATTTAAGAAAAAGAGAGGGGAAAAAAATTAACTGGAATGCATAAAAAAATGCACTGGAACACGTCAAAAACGCATCCAAAATGCACTGGAACACGCTAAACATGCATCAAAAAAGTGCATGCAAAAACATCTGGAACACATCTAGACTGTGTTTCTATAGTGTGAACTGACCCTTAGGACTTGTTCACACCATTTGTGGTGCAGAAACGCATGCAAGAGCATGTTTTTTCCAGCACAGCAAAGAAATGCAATGCCTTTGCAGATGTGCGCAGGTACCATGGTGAAAACTTAATTGCACCTCTACGTGTCTAGTAAACACAAAGGCATTCACAGCCACCAAAATGCATGGCACCACACTACTGTGCAGTTAGGTAAAAACACACTTTTAAAATAATATGCCTGCAGTATTTTTGCATGTTCCCACACATTAGGCAGCCCATTGAAATTAATGAGCTGAGGAAAAAAAAAAAAGTAAAAAAAATTCCCCATTCACACAAGTCCTCTGGCCTGTACAGCATGAATGAGGGGGTTCTTCATGTGGCTGGAGACACCTGTTACACTATGGGGGACACAGCAGCTGTATGAACAACAGGTTTTAATCTGACAGGTGTGAAGGCGTGGGGAAGTGGCCCTGAATGCACACTGTCTGTGTTCAGGGCTGTACACCTGCACCCATATGCTTGTCAAATTATAACCTGCAGCATTTTCATAGTGTAACATAGGTTACCTGCAAACGGCGATAGTCACAAAAACAAACCACTGATTCACACTCTACAGGCCACAGCACCCATGAGCCCCAAGACCTCAATTACACTTCAATTACAGACAAAGATTTTTATTTATGAACTCAGTACAGTTTTAGCATTTAGATTTCACAGGAATATGGTTGGGATTATGTCCATTAATAATGTTTTTAGTGTATTTGTACCATAAATATAATTTGGATATTTTCTCTGGCGGTGGGGGGCTGTCAGGTATGCTGTACAGGGCCCCGTGATATCTAACAGTGGCCCTGGGTGTATGCTTGTGTCTGTGCCACCTGTATAGTTAGGAAGAACCTTGAACGTCTGCTATATACCGCAATGGATCTAGGAATTGGACATGTTTTCAACTGAAAATTCAATTATTAGTAATGTTTCCCCAGCAAATGAGGATCAGCTCCTCGGTGGAGAACAGCGATCTCGCCATGTCCAGATGTGGTCTGGAATTCCAAAAAAGAACAATTCACAAAACTAAAAACATAGACCACTAAACCCTCCTAACTACACTCCCATCCACTAACACTCCCCACTACCACTTCCGGGTGTGTGCAAACATCCTTCCCCAAATGTCATGACGTATATCCGGTATGACAGCTGCTCTAGCACCTCCTCCAACAGCCGTCTTGGCGTTGATTTATGCACCATAGCAATTTTACATGCGGCTCCATTGTTTATATAACATTTGCAAATATATGTTTGCAGTTCTATTGTGGATTTGGCATTGGTGAATGTATGCTTGCAGCTATACTGTGTATATGACATTGGCAAATATATATTTGCTGGTAAAGGCCCAAAGTCAACATAAATTAGGGGCCCAATTTATTACTGTTAAGAGGATTGTAGAGAAATAGCTAGATGGACATTGAACACGACCTATTCATTGGTAAATAACATGGTCTTGTGGTGCAATAGAGGACTTTTGGTTTGTTTGGACACACTTGCATATGTGCACTCTAACAAGGAAGATTTGGGCATATTATATAGCTAGCAAAATAAGTGTTAAGGGGTGATAGTACATTTATTTATGGTACTTATATAGCGCTGTCAATTTACGCAGTGCTTTACATATGATATATGTTGTAAATTCACATCAGTCCCTAACACTCAAGGGGCGTACGATCTAAAAGGTCCCTAACTTACTGTCAGGAATGGACTGGCCAGCAATGGTGGGACTCACCTGCCTTTTGATCTGCAGTACCAGGGCTGGCCAGCGGGGTGCTCCCAGCAATCAGAGACTCAACCTTTCAGCCAGCTAACACCTGGAACTGATGATACTGGTGTATTTAAGGGATGGCCAGACTTGCAGACTCTGCCTTGGTGTTGTGTTTGTCCTGGGCCCTGTATCTGTCCTGCATCCTGTTTCTGTTCCTTTGCTGACCCTGCCTGATCTGAACCGCTGCTGACTTCTCCTGCTCTGATCCCGGCTCGCTCCTGACCATCCCTCTGCCTGACCCTCTGTACCACGCTGCTTGCTACCTGTTCTGATCCCTGGCTTGTGACCCTGACCATCCCTCTGCCTGACCCTCTACGCTATGACTACTCTGTACTACGCTGCTAGCTACCTGCTGAACCTGACCCGACCCATCTCCGCTTGCTCCCCCTGTACCTACCTGCCCTATTGATATTGACCCGGCCTGCCTGACGACGCTTGCTTGTATGTACTGTTATCTCTGTGGGTGGTTGGTTTGGTTTGTTTGCACTGTATTATGTTTTAGTATTGCACTGCGTTTATGTTTGTATTGTTAGTGTTAATAAATTATATTGTTTATCACATATCTGAAGTCTGCGTTTCCCTGCATCAGTCACACACCTCTGGTCACACCTGGGAGCCCTGACATTACACCAAGGCCAATCCTGACCAGAAGTGGCTGCACAGGGAAGCCATCTTGGTTTGTTTGGGAAGGATGGATCTGGATGAGGTTGCGTATTTATATCTGCTAGTGTTTGATGACAGGGAGTATGCTTATCAAACTCTGAAGGAGTATCCCCGGGATGAACTGCTAGAATGTATACGGCTCGCTCATGTTCTAGTAGATCAGGGCACAGAGTTCTCTGAGGTGCAGCCTTTGATTGAGGTTTGTGCTGAGTTGGTTTCATCTGGTACCCCGAAATGGGGATGAATTTTTGCCACCATTTAGTGCAGACCAGGTAGAGTCCCTGGTGTGGTTATTAGAGGATGATGTGGGTTACTTTCTGGAGCGTTATTCCACATGTTCACCACAGACACTAAGAGATTGTATAAACGCAGTGCACTCTTTGGTCAGACAGGCTTTGTGTAAGCTCAGCTTTGTTCAACCCATACTGCAGACATGGACAGACTTGTTGCACCCAGCCTCAGTCAGCTTACAAAAACCCAGTCCTGCTTCTAATCTATTTCCTCAAAGCTCTATTCCTGCATTCCCAACAGCTCCTCCTGCCCTGCTATCTACCGCATGTCAGTACCCTGTTCCCACTCGCTGCACCTATCCTGCCTTTAACCCTGTAAAAAAGCCCTCTGTAGCAACTGCTCCCTCTCCTGTTCCATCCTCCAGTTCTTCTCTGTCTCCAGCTGCTCCATTCGTTTGCAGACCTGCGTTTACTTGCAGTGCTCCAGTAGTTAAAACCAAAAAAAGCGAAAATTCTTTCCAACCAGTACCATCCTGCCAGTATCCAAACCGGTGAACCTGCCTTCCGTGGTTCAGCCTGAAGCCTCTACTCAGCCTGAATCCTCTACTCAGCCTGAATCCTCTACTCAGCCTGATGCCTGTACTCAGCCTGATGCCTGTACTCAGCCTGATGCCTCTCTTCTGCCTGATGCCTGTACTCAGCCTGATGCCTGTACTCAGCCTGATGCCTGTACACAGCCTGATGCCTCTCTTCTGCCTGATGCCTCTACTCGGCCTGAAGCCTCTACTCGGCCTGAAGCCTCTACTCGGCCTGATGCCTCTACTGCCTCTACTCGGCCCGATGCCCGATGCCTCTACTCGGCCCGAAGCCTCTACTCGGCCCGAAGCCTCTACTCGGCCCGAAACCTCTACTCAGCCGGACGCCGGCATTCAGCCTGATGCCTCTACCCAGCATGATGAACTGATCCAGCCTGACGATCCTATTAGGCCAGTTGACTCGATGCCCGCTGTTGATCCAGATGATCCGGTACCTGCTATCGTGCCAATTGACTCAGAGCCCGCTGTCGTACCTGGTGACTCGGTGCCCACTGCCTTGCCAGATGACGCGGTGCCCGCTGTCGAGCCAAATGACCTGATGCCTGGTGACCCGATGCCCGCTGTCCAGTCAGACGATCCAATGTCTGACCCAGTGCCCACGGTCATACCAGTTGACTCGGAGCCCACTGCCTTGCCAGATGACGCGGTGCCCGCTGTCGAGCCAAATGACCTGATGCCTGGTGACCCAGTGCCCGCTGTCATACCTGGTGACCCGATGCCCGCTGTCGAGCCAGACAATCCGGTACCTGATGACCCGGTGCCCACTGTCGTGCCTGTTGACTCGGAGCCCACTGCCTTGCCAGATGACGCGGTGCCCGCTGTCGAGCCAAATGACCTGATGCCTGGTGACCCGATGTGCCCGCTGTCCGGCCAGACGATTCAATGTCTGCCCCAGTGCCCGCGGTCATGCCAGTTGACTCGGAGCCCACTGCCTTGCCAGATGACGCGGTGCTCGCTGTCGAGCCAAATGACTTGATGCCTGGTGACCCGATGCCCGCTGTCCAGTCAGACGATCCAATGTCTGACCCAGTGCCCGCGGTCATACCAGTTGACTCGGAGCCCACTGCCTTGCCAGATGACGCGGTGCCCGCTGTCGAGCCAAATGACCTGATGCTTGGTGACCCGATGCCCGCTGTCCAGCCAGACGATCCAATGTCTTCTGACCCAGTGCCAGCGGTCATGCCAGTTGACTCGGAGCCCACTGTCGTGCCTGGTGACTCGGTGCCCGCCGCTTCGCCTGGGGGCCCGAGACCTGTCGCTCCACCTGGGGGTCCGGCGCCCGCCGCTCCGCCTGGGGGTCCGGCGCCCGCCGCTCCGCCTGGGGGCCCGAGACCTGTCGCTCCGCCTGAGGGCCCGAGACCTGTCGCTCCACCTGGGGGTTTGCGCGCCCGCCGCTCTGCCTGAGGGCCCGAGACCTGTCGCTCCGCCTGGGGGTCCGGCGCCCGCCGCTCCTCCTGAGGGCACGAGACCTGTCGCTCCGCCTGGGGGTTCGGTGCCCGCCGCTCTGCCTGAGGGCCCGAGACCTGTCGCTCCGCCTGGGGGTCCGGCGCCCGCCGCTCCTCCTGAGGGCACGAGACCTGTCGCTCCGCCTGGGGGTTCGGTGCCCGCCGCTCCGCCTGAGGGCCCGAGACCTGTCGCTCCACCTGGGGGTCCGGCGCCCGCCGCTCCGCCTGAGGGCCCGAGACCTGTCGCTCTCCACCTGGGGGTTCGGTGCCCGCCGCTCCGCCTGGGGGCCCGAGACCTGTCGCTCCGCCTGAGGGCCCGAGACCTGTCCCTCCGCCTGAGGGCCCGAGACCTGTCGCTCCACCTGGGGGTCCGGCGCCCGCCGCTCTGCCTGAGGGCCCGAGACCTGTCGCTCCGCCTGGGGGTCCGGCGCCCGCCGCTCCTCCTGAGGGCACGAGACCTGTCGCTCCGCCTGGGGGGGTTCGGTGCCCGCCGCTCTGCCTGAGGGCCCGAGACCTGTCGCTCCGCCTGGGGGTCCGGCGCCCGCCGCTCCTCCTGAGGGCACGAGACCTGTCGCTCCGCCTGGGGGTTCGGTGCCCGCCGCCGCTCCGCCTGAGGGCCCGAGACCTGTTGCTCCATCTGGGGGTCCGGCGCCGCCCGCCGCTCCTGGGGGCCCGATGCCTGTCGCCCCGCCTGGGGGCCCGATGCCTGTCGCCCCGCCTGGGGGTCCGAGACCTGTCGCTCCGCCTGAGGGCCCGAGACCTGTCGCTCCACCTGGGGGTCCGGCGCCCGCCGCTCCGCCTGAGGGCCCGAGACCTGTCGCTCCGCCTGGGGGTCCGGCGCCCGCCGCTCCCCGCCTGAGGGCCCGAGACCTGTCGCTCCGCCTGGGGGTCCGGCGCTCGCCGCTCCGCCTGAGGGCCCGAGACCTGTCGCTCCGCCTGGGGGTCCGGCGCTCGCCGCCGCTCCTCCTGAGGGCCCGAGACCTGTCGCTCCGCCTGGGGGTCCGGCGCCCGCCGCTCCGCCTGGGGGCCCGAGACCTGTCGCTCGCGCCTGAGGGCCCGAGACCTGTCGCTCCACCTGGGGGTCCGGCGCCCGCCGCTCCGCCTGAGGGCCCGAGACCTGTCGCTCCGCCTGGGGGTCCGGCGCCCGCCGCTCCTCCTGAGGGCACGAGACCTGTCGCTCCGCCTGGGGGTTCGGTGCCCGCCGCTCCTCCTGAGGGCCCGAGACCTGTCGCTCCACCTGGGGGTCCCGCGCCCGCCGCTCCGCCTGGGGGCCCGAGACCTGTCGCTCCACCTGGGGGTCCGGCGCCCGCCGCTCCGCCTGAGGGCCCGAGACCTGTCGCTCCATCTGGGGGTCCGGCGCCCGCCGCTCTCCGCCTGGGGGCCCGATGCCCATCGCCCCGCCTGGGGACCCGATGCCCGTCGCCCCGCCTGGGGGCCCGATGCCGGTCGCCCCGCCCGGGGGCCCGGTGCCGGTCGCCCCGCCCGGGGGCCCGCCGGTGCCGGTCGCCCCGCCCGGGGGCCCGGTGCCGGTCGCCCCGCCCGGGGGCCCGGTGCCTGTCGCCCCGCCCGGGGGCCCGGTGCCTGTCGCCCCGCCCGGGGGTCCGGTGCCTGACGCCCCGCCCGGGGGCCCGCTGCCTGCTGCTCCACCTGGTAATCCGATGTGCCTCTGCCCGGCGTCCTGCCCGATGTGCCTCTGCCCGGAGTCCTGCCCGATGTGCCTCTGCCCGGAGTCCTGCCCGATGTGCCTCTGCCCGGTGTTCCTCTGCCCGATGTGCCTCTGCCCGGAGTCCAGCCCGATGTGCCTCTGCCCGGAGTCCAGCCCGATGTGCCTCTGGCCGGAGTCCAGCCCGATGTGCCTCTGCCCGGTGTGCCTCTGCCCGGTGTGCCTCTGCCCGATGTGCCTCTGCCCGGAGTCCAGCCCGATGTGCCTCTGCCCGGAGTCCAGCCCGGAGTCCTGCCCGGTGTGCCAGTCTTTGATATCCCGCCAGTTACCAGACCCGGGCGGTGGAACATTTTGCCCAGCTAGGACTGTTTGGAGCGTCCTGAGGCTTCCTTGAGGGGGGGGTACTGTCAGGAATGGACTGGCCAGCAATGGTGGGACTCACCTGCCTTTTGATCTGCAGTACCAGGGCTGGGCCAGCGGGTGCTCCCAGCAATCAGAGACTCAACCTTTCAGCCAGCTAACACCTGGAACTGATGATACTGGTGTATTTAAGGGATGGCCAGACTTGCAGACTCTGCCTTGGTGTTGTGTTTGTCCTGGGCCCTGTATCTGTCCTGCATCCTGTTTCTGTTCCTTTGCTGACCCTGCCTGATCTGAACCGCTGCTGACTTCTCCTGCTCTGATCCCGGCTCGCTCCTGACCATCCCTCTGCCTGACCCTCTGTACCACGCTGCTTGCTACCTGTTCTGATCCCTGGCTTGTGACCCTGACCATCCCTCTGCCTGACCCTCTGTACTACGCTGCTAGCTACCTGCTGAACCTGACCCGACCCATCTCCGCTTGCTCCCCCTGTACCTACCTGCCCTATTGATATTGACCCCCGGCCTGCCTGACGACGCTTGCTTGTATGTACTGTTATCTGTGGGTGGTTGGTTTGGTTTGTTTGCACTGTATTATGTTTTAGTATTGCACTGCGTTTATGTTTGTATTGTTAGTGTTAATAAATTATATTGTTTATCACATCTGAAGTCTGCGTTTCCCTGCGTCAGTCACACACCTCTGGTCACACACCTGGGAGCCCTGACACTTACATTCATACATATACTAGGGCCAATTTTGACAGGATCCAATTAACCTAACAGCATGTCTTTAGAGTGTGGGAGGAAACCGGAGTACCCAGAGGAAAACCGCACAGGGAGAACATGCAAACTCCAGGCAGGAGGTGCCGTGGCTGGGATTTGAACCAACCCTAGTACTGCCAGGCCGAAGTACTAACCATTTAGCCACTGTGCTACATTCAACTAGAACATGAAATAATCCCCCCCAAAAAAATAAATAGTCCAAATGTTTATTGATCAAATACACATTCCACATTTATTTGGACAGCAACAAGTAGGTACATTCAATTTCTTGATTAAAAAAAAAAAAAAAAGCAGGATTGATGTTGCTAAAATAGAATGGTCCTGCTCATAAGAGCTTACAATCTAAAAGATTATACTTCTAATGAACTGTGCTTTCACAGGTTACAGCAGGAAACAAACGGTTAATATAAATCACGTATTAGGCTTATCTATCCACAAAACAAGCTGCAGATCAAAATATATATATAAAAATACATACGTGCCAAAATAAAAAACACCTCACACCTCCCCAAATCCCCCACACATACATTTCTCACCATGTTTGTCTGAAAACTGCATTTCAGTCTAAATAAAGCAAACTTGGAAGAGCAGAGCAATTGGCATGTGTTAGGATTACAGTGCAAAGATAATAAACACACAATCATTGTACAATAACACACAAACACACCTTAGAAGGAAGAACATGCAAAACATTTACAGCCCACATCAAAACACAGCGTGAGTGTGGCCTGGGGGCAATTCACCACAATATCTCTTCCTCCCCCAAACCACCACAGACAAGGACTTGCATAAATAATGTGCCTGTACAAGGCAAAAATCAGCCACTACTGCATCTCTTTATATAAGGTAGGCCACACCCACCACTGTCATTCATTTAGTCAGAGAAAGTGTTTGCACCTGATTAATTCTCTTCCCACCTGCAACCCTTGGTATACAGGCCCCACAAATCAGAGTCAGAAAGAAAACCACAGTGAAGTGTACCTGTGCAGCATACAATAGAACATTGAACAGGGATGTAAAAGGGAACCCTATTGGCAACATTTCTTGGCCCTATGGGCACAATTCACTCCAAATTATCACATGAGTTAAGGCAGTCACATGACCACATCTCGCATGCAATACTGAAAATGTCAATTCACTTTTGCTAGTATGTGGCATTTCCCATAAATCGGAAAAAACACTCAGGAAATCAAACATAAAAAGGCCTTTACACCGCTGTCACATCAAAGCCGATTTAGAAATTGTGCGACGTACAGTGAAGATGCTGATTTCCTTACGATTTGCAAGACATCTGACACAGATATCTATGCAAATCGTCACAATAGTAGTACATGTACTACTTTAGAAATCAGTGTCGGAAACGCACCCATGTGACTGCTCTAATAGCAGACATTAGGGTGTGACTTGCATTTGCATGCAAATCACATGCCAAGTCGCACTCAATGTGACCGCTATTAGAGCGTTCATATTGGTGCGGTTCAAACTTGGTCAGAGCCGCAACAATTTCTAAAGTAATGAATACACTACTTTTCATACGTTTTGCAGAGAGATCTGAGTAAGATGTCTTGCAAATCGCACTTTAAATCAGCATGTCCCCCGACTTTGAAATCATGTGACTTCACTGTAAGTCACATGATGTGACTGTAGTGTAAATAACACCACTTAGAAATCTGCTGTAATGTGACCGGGGTGGCCCCCAGTAACATTGTTTGCGATTTGGCATGCAATCGGCATGACAGGCAACTTGCAAATCGTAGACCAAGTCGCACCCTTTTGTCCACTGTAGGCTTTGTTCACATCCAAATGGATTGTGAACTCGTGCAACTTCACTGTAAGTTGGGCAATTGCCACATCGGATTGGATGTGACAAAGTTATTAGCCCCCAGTAACGTGTGCAATTTGCCATGCAAATGGCAAGTTGCTGGCCATGCCAATCGCATGACAAGTCGCATCCAGGGTGTGCAATTTCAAGTGCGATTTGTGAATTGACATCGTACTTGATATCGGATATAATGAATGTGAATGTGAGTGTATTAACATACGCGATTTGTTTGTTGAACTTACTATTTCAAAGGTAGTTCTTGTTGAACTTTTTGGCCATTTAGTAGCAATTTCACATCTAGACTTCAATAGAAATTACAATGCTAAACACAATTTATATCACGACTAGTTTGAAAATCTCTAGAAAACACGGTGAAATTGGCAACTTAAAGCGCAATTTTCAATTGCATATAGTGTGAACGAAGCAGGTAAATCAACAAAGGAAATAAATCTTTGAAGGCATGTGGTACCTGCCTGCTCGGATAAGGGTCTGCTACGCATTTGGGGGAAAAATCCGCGCCAGTATTTGTAACAATTTTGATGTGTGGATTACCCACCCAAGCCTTTTCTCGCTCTCTCACTCTTCTGTATGTCTCTCTTTATCACTCTTCCGTATGTATCTCTCACTCTTCTGTATGTCTCTCTTTATCACTCTTCAGTATGTATCTCTTGCTCTTCTCTCTCTCACTCTTCTGTATGTCTCTCTTTATCACTCTTCAGTATGTATCTCTTGCTCACTCTTCTCTCTCTCAGCTCTTTGCTTGACAAATCCTTCACAAAAGGGGGTGAAGTGTAAACCAGCATTATCAAATCTATTAGTAGTCCAGGCCCTTATCTCATCCCATTGTATGACATTCACATTAGGTGCAGCTTTGAAGGTGTTTCAACAGACAAGGCCCATTCTAATTCACATTCAAGGGATCATTTAGACAGAAAGCAAAGATGTTGCCAGAACATCTATTTGAAGACAGCTACACAGGCAGATCATGCTACTTTCTTGCCATGGTTGGGATTCAAACCGACAACCCTAGAGCTGTGAGGCAGCAGTGCTAACCACTAATCCACAGAGCTGCAATACTAATCCACCCTCTATTTCTGTGGTGTGAATCAACCCTAAGTCCCTGGGCAAGCTCAGTGTAACTAGCCAGATATCTCCAATGTGACACAAATGTTGTGCTATGTTGCCAATTCTGATGTATGTTGGTTCTATGTATCCCAATACAAAGGATTGCAATACTAATACATGCGTACCTTGGTTTACCAATGCCTCGGGGAACGTCATATTTGGTGTACAAATGCCAAACCATTAAAATTAATTGGTCGGTTTACAAATGTTCGAATAATTTAGTTCACAATACGAAGTGTATGACGGTGCTGATTTTTCAATGCTAATGGCGTGCCTTTTTTTGTCCTTCACTATAGTTCACAAGTAGAGATGAGCGAAGTATTCAAAAATTCGATTCGGCTGATTCGGCGAATTCGAGGAATAAATTTGATTCGAGTCGAATATATTCGCTGCGAATTTAACTTATAAAAGGGTGTTTCTAGGCTTCAGAGAGCCTTTATATTAGTGCAGAACACTGTACCTTTAATTTAAATGCCCTTGGAGTCTGCTGGGGAAGAGAAATAATACTGTCAGTCAGTATGCATGCAGATGAGTGCTGTCGATCTTACCAAGCCTGTTGTTTGAGGTCCTGCTCCAGGTCCACC